CCCGTTTTTAGTGTATCTCTATGGCAGAATTACAGCGCCACATACTGGTCTGGCATTATATACTACATCGTTTTGTGTCGGTTTCGTGTGGATGCAGATATTTCTTGAGACGAGGGGAAAAAAAGGATCGGATAGAGAAAACTCTGGCTTCGTGTGGCGGTATAGGCCTATATATTTTTCACTAGGGTTTACAGGCAGCATTTGAATACAAAGGTTTAAAAAAAAAACCTCTGAGGCAGCATCTAGCAATAAAACAAAACAAATCAGAGAGCTTTGACAACTGGGCAAAAAAAATAAAAAATGACTACAATTGCATGCTGTGAACTCTTTAGTTACCATTAAACCTAATTTGTTCCACCTGTGTTTTGCCCTTGCTGGTTTCAGTAAACTGTGTTCTGATTGAGCCTACCCCAATTCTAGAAAGGTTTAGTGTTAATTCTCTGTTGCCATTTGCCCTTCTTTATGTTTATTTGTGGAAGCTTGGCTTCCTCTCTTGTTTCTATTTGAAGACTAAGATCAAGTAAAGACTGCAAGCTTTGAGTCATCTGAGACTCCTTGTTTGTCCTTCCTTCTGGTTTTGCAGACTGTCATCTAGAGCCCGACCGATATATATCGTTTTGCTGATTTTATCTTCCGATATGAGCCTGTCGCAGATATATCGATATCGGCAAATATGCCGCTGATATGAACATTTTTCAAAGCTGTGCTTCCTGCATAAACCTGCCCCTGTTGGATTGGCAGTAGCTTGTTGCCCTACACAGTTACCTTGTTTATTTTCTTAATTCAAGTTATATACAGTAGCCTATTGCTCTATTTGAGTTTTAAAGTTATTTATAATAAGTGAAGTGAAGTTTACTGTTAAGTGCACTGATGTCTGACTCATTTTGGATAATAAAGTTTATTGTTAAATTGCTAAATACCCTGCCTCCATTACATATTTTTGTCACATCATTATAAGTGTTTGATCACCACATTTGAGTTATCATTGCTAAAAATGTGTTTAAGTATATATATTCTGTTTATGTATATACTGTATTCTAGCCTATATACAGTACCAGCCATGGGACGAATGGGAAGTGTGTCCAAACTTTTGACTGGTGATGTACTATAATATACACATAAAGAATATCGGCCGATATATCGATATCAGACTTTTTTTACTCCCTAATATCGGTATCGGTATCGGCCCCCAAAAACCCATATCGGCCGGGCTCTACTGTCATCCACAGTAGACCAGAGGGAGAGAAGTAGTTTCCCTGACTGGGAGACCTCAGGCTCTCATCACTACACCTCACACCAGAGACCAGCGTTTATAGCGTATTATACCAGTCAACATTTACAGCAAGACTGAACCATGGAAGTGGAAGAATCGACTCCTCCCTCCGATGTGAAACGCATCCTAGCTATGCTTTCTGGTCAAGCCACTGCCGTTCTCCACTGTATAAGTGACCAGTCGATATCTCAAGCCTCTCCTGTCGTTCAAACCCAGTTTCAAGGTACCCCTAAGCTGAGTCCACCAGCATAGTAACCTCATAGGAAAAGATGTAAGTAACCACATCAGAGATGGTCAAAGTGAATGTCGTTGTAAGACTCGACTGCCTGATGTTCACACCTCCACTGGTTCTGCTGAATCTCCACCGCTGACCAGTGTTCTGAGCAGCCTATGAAGGACATTATCACAGGCCAAAACAGAAAGAGATCGCACATGAAAAAATACTATAGTCATTTATAGTAATTCTATAGTGTTTTTGAACCATACTATAGTAAAGTACTTGAATTAATTTGTTGTGGTAATTCTACACTGTAAAAAAAAATCTGTGACATTTACGGTAAGAAAAAAAACTAAGAAGAAACATGTTATTTCAACAAAAAAAGCATCAAATATGAAGTGTCATGCAGGGAATTCTGGGAGTGTCAATTTACAGTTTATCACTGTAAATTATACAATGACTTTTTCTTTTTCACTTCTAAAAAACGTATTTTTAAGAGTATTTTACTGTAAAATTACATTAAATGTAATTACATTTATTCACCGAATATAGTATGGAAACTTACTGTTAACAGGTTAACAGGTTTTTACTGTAGCATTTTTACAATATTTTACTGTTAAAATCACAATCATTTTTTACAGTTTATAGTTGCTGTGGTAATATAACAACTATAGTATTATAAACAAATTACTTTACCCAACACTGTACTCAGTTTTCTACAGCTATAGGGTATATTATACTACAATACACTACAGTTTACTGTAGTAAACACTAAAGTATACTACAGTATTTATTTATTAAAGTTTATCATATATGAGTGATTCTATCATTGCAGGTACATTTGGTGTCCAAAGTCATTGCTTTTTTCTGCTTTTTTCAAATGTTATATTTTTTGATTATTTTAATACAGTGTTACTCGTTGTTATGAATTACAAGATGTTTCAGTCCATAACAATATAATAATTTTAGCAAAAAGTGTCTGAAATAGCTGAAAATCATGATTTCTTGTTGTCCAAATTAGTCAGTGCATTTTTCCCATCATGTATCATTGTGTAATCAAAATATTTTATTGTACTTTTCTTTTGGTAATATTTCATTCATTGCATCTATAAAAGCCATAAAGAGTAATTTACCTAATTCTACAACATTATTATTATTATTTTTTTTTTAAACTTTTTTCTTATAAAAATGTGTGTCAATTAAATCTTGCGTCAACTCTGTTACCGTTTCATACTTTGCCTTTAAATTAGTGGAATTATCTCCCAAGATACAGGAAATGATGTCACTTTCCCTCACTGATAAGATCTAAAGCACTGAAAAGCCTATATGCTCTCTCTAAGAAAATATTTTAATCTAAAAAGTTCTTACGCCAAGAGTTATTTTATAAAGTTTCAGAACTGTTACCACAATATCAAAAGGAAAACTGAATTTTTCATTGATCACACTTTGTGTCATTTATAGCATTTATGCTAGCTAGTGGAGTTTTTGGCAAAAAAAAAATAATAATAAAATTGTCAATTCTGTTACCGTCAAGCTCTGTTACCAAGGTAGAGTAACAGTGCTGACAGTGCGGTAACAGAATTGACAGTCCACTGGATAATTCTGTTACTTTACAGTTCTGTTACTTAAAGGTTCAACTCTGTTTATGAACTATTTTCACAAAAAAAACAATAAAATTGTTGTTTAAAATCTCATAAACATTATTGATTTTGGTAATGCAGTCTTTGATGTCTACATGCATGCCTTATTTAATTTTGACATTCAAATATTATTTAATCCTATGTTTGTGTCAGATTAATATCACTTTAGACAACAATAGCACATAATACACTGTGAATAATTGCATTAAACAACACTGATTTTTAAAATGAAAGCGGAATGTCGTATTCTGTTCAGGCGCTGTGTGAGCTGCTATGAGGTCCTTCGGGACGCGCATGTGTTGTTGTTGGATAATTCTAGAAGAGCGTGAGTGAGAGTTCAGTTCTAGCGCTACTGACAGCACAGGGCCTGAGTTTGACCACCAGAGCTCATCTAATTAACTTTCAGCGGCTTTACAAAGACCTCTCACTCAGTGTCATCTGCATTTAGCGATACATAAGTCAGAGATGTTGTCCGCGGCGAGGAGTGTGTCTCAGAAGTCCTGCAGCAGTGCTCTCATCAAGAAGGTGCGCGACTAATACACTACTACTGAGTGCCCTTAAAGAGTGCTCTGTTTAGTAAAGGTGTCGCTCAGTCAGCTTGTGTGTTCATGACATTTAGCTGAAGTGATGTGTAGTGAGTTGAGTGCAGCACGATCTCGACAGTGTTATTAATGTGTAAACAGCAGTGTGTAGTGACCTTCATCAAGCGTCCTGAGAGGAGCTTCCCTGCATCTCTGCAATAACAAGTTGTTCATGAGTGTAATATACAGTATATTACAATATACTGCATATTTGAAGCGATGTTGCCATGATAGACAATTATTGTAACCCACGTGGTTCTGTTTGCGTCAACACGGCTTTGGTTAAACCACATGTTCAGAATTAACTGTGTCCCTGCAGCACAAAAGCAGTGTTAAGTCGCTGGGGTATATTTGTAGCAATAGCCAACAATACATTGTATGGGTCAATATTATACATTTTTCTTTTATGCCAAAAATCATTAGGATATTAAGTAAAGATCATGTTCCATGAAGATATTTTGTACATTTCCTACCGTAAATATATCAAAACTTAATTTTTGATTAGTAATATGCATTGCTAAGAACTTCATTTGGACAACTTTAAAGATGATTTTCTCAATATTTAGATTTTTTTGCACCCTCAGATTCCAGATTTTCAAATAGTTGTATCTCAACCAAATATTGTCCTATCCTAACAAACCATACATCAATGGAAAGATTAGCTTTTTAAAAACAATGAACCCTTATGATTGGTTTTGTGCTCCAGGGTCTCCGTTCTGTCTAGCTTTTGCACAATGTGTTGTGATTCATTGCCCAGTACAACAGTTCATATTGCCTTTTTTCCCTCTTATTATTATATTGCACACTACAACTGTTTTTTTATTTATTGTGAAATAATGACACGTTCCTAAATGTCTGTTTTTAGGCTTGTTGGAGTGGACTGACTCTCCAGACGGCGTGCAGACGGCGTTATGCGTGAGTACGAGTGGTTTGGTTCAGAACGTCTCCTGATGATCGAAGGCCGTGTTTCTGAGCTGCTGATGGTGTTTCAGGTCGGAGGCGGTCCGAGGCGCCGTCATCGGCATTGACCTGGGAACCACCAACTCCTGCGTGGCTGTGATGGAGGGGAAACAAGCAAAGGTGAGCTCGAACTCCTCTTGCTCACATTTAGAGGCTAAGACTTAGACCTGGCAACAAGAACGCTTGTAGACTGAGCTGTCAGCGTTGTGTTCCTGATCAGGTGCTAAACACAAAATACAGTAGTCAACATTTGAAGTATTCGCTCACTGGTTATTTATACTGAAAACTTGAGAGGATTTAGCATTTGCTTTATGGCTGCGGTTGCCAGATTTCATTAGTTTAAAATCTCCCGATCAGAGCTTTTTGCTTAAATGGATTTTTCCCCCAGTGATTTACTTATTCTTCCCAATCTGGCAACCACTATACATTAAGGACAACACGCTGATATTCTGAAAACACAGGCAAGCTTTTCGCGATCTCTTGAGATATTCTGCTCAAATAAATGTCGCACAATTAAAATTTGCATGGTTTGCACGCAGATTTAGTCACAGCAAACAGCGCAGAACGGCGAAAGACAATACTGCTGCGACTAAATCTGCCAGCGAACCATGCAGCGCTCTGTTGATTTGTGAAAACGCTTTAACTCTGAGGAAATGTAAAAACAATCACGCAGCCCTAGAAGCTCAATTATGGCAGGTGTTCAGATTCTGAAGTCATTATTCGGCTGAAGTCTGATGGGTTTGGATGAGTCCAGCTCAGACTGATGTTCAGTGAAGGGTGTGATGGTCACAGGTGCTGGAGAACGCCGAGGGAGCGAGGACCACGCCGTCAGTGGTGGCCTTCACAGCTGATGCAGAGAGACTCGTGGGAATGCCAGCCAAACGCCAGGCCGTCACCAACCCCAACAACACGCTCTACGCTACTAAACGCCTGATCGGACGCCGCTACGACGACCCTGAAGTTCAGAAAGACCTGTGAGACGTCTGTTTTTAAACAGATGTACACCACTGTACATGTGTATATATATGTATGTGTATGAATTGTGTGCAGATAAGTGCTGAGCTTTGCTGTGATTGACAGGAAGAACGTGCCCTATAAGATCGTGCGTGCGTCTAACGGAGACGCCTGGCTGGAGGCCCACGGTAAACTGTACTCTCCCAGTCAGGCCGGAGCCTTTATCCTCATGAAGATGAAGGAGACCGCAGGTCAGTCCTCCTCCTGAGGAAGAGACGCATGCAACAGATAATCAGCCGCTCCATCAAACCACTGCTTGTCTGTTTCAGAGAGCTACCTGGGTCACGCGGTGAAGAACGCTGTTATTACTGTACCTGCTTACTTCAACGACTCTCAGAGACAGGTGTGGCGCACAATCAGTGATCAACTAACCTGTTATATGTGCATATCAGTGAACCAGCTTTGATTCATGCAATGGTTGTGTTTATAGGCGACTAAGGACGCCGGGCAGATTGCAGGTTTGAATGTGCTGCGTGTCATTAATGAGCCGACGGCTGCTGCTTTAGCCTACGGACTGGACAAGACTCAGGACAAAATGTAAGCTTTAGATACTCGTCTTCATTGTTTGATCATATTTGTATACCAACGTAGTTAGGGATGCTCTATATCACTTTGTCATGATCGATACTGACACTGCAGCCTGAAGTATTAAATTGGTTCACTCAGAAATGCATGCATGTATTCGTTAGAACATATTAATTAGCAATGCTGAACTTATATTTAGCATGTTTTGACAGTAGCTTGAGTTGGGATGCTGATGTGAGCTTGTTTACATTGAGAAAAGTGTACACTGCCGTTCAAAAGTTTGGGGTCAGTAAGACTTGTAATGTTTTTTAAAGAAGTCTCTTCTGCTCATCAAGGCTGCATTTATTTGATCAAAAATACAGAAAAAAACTGTAATCTTGCAAAATGTTGTTACAATATAAAATAATGGCTTCTATTTTAATATCCTTTAAAATATATTTTATTTCTGTGATGCAGCGCTGAATTTCCATCATCATTACTCCAGTATAAAGTGTCACATGATCTTCAGAAATCATTCTAATATGCTGATTTATTATTAGAATTATCAACAGTTGTGCTGCCAAATATTTGTTTGGAAACTGTGATACTTTTTTCAGGATTCTTTGATGAATAAAAAGTTAAAAAGAACAGCATTTATTCAAAATATAAATCTTTGCTATCACTTCTTAACAATTTAACACATCCTTGCTGAATAAAAGTTTTAATTTCTTTCAAAAATTAAAAAATTTACCGACCCCAAACTTTTGAACTGTAGTGTATATTGTTAGAAAAGATTTATATTTTAAATAAATGCTCTTCTTTTTAACGTTTTATTCATCAAAGAATCCTGAAAAAGTATCACAGTTTCAAAAAAAATGTTAGGCAGCACAACTGTTGATAATTCTAACTAGAGGTCGGCCGATGTATCGGTTTTGCCGATTAATCGGCACCGATAGTTGATTGCTGGAACTATCGGTTATCTGCAAAAATCCATGCCGATAGTTTTCCGGGTTGCATCCATTGCTGGAGCGGCTGAGAGGGTCTGCTGGTGATTAAATAAACTGTTTTAGACCGCTGCTCGAGTTGAACGCGACGTGTCCGAAAGGTGTGTGTGATACCGGTGAGTTCTCCTAGACTCAGCGCTGCACTTTTATTTTGATTAAATAATCAAGTGTTCAAGAATAGAAGCAGTTCAAGTGTGAGAGTATACATACAATATCCATATGTATATAATTTTACTTCTATAGCCTTTGTGTCTAATAATAAATCAGCATATTAGAGTGATTTCTGAAGATCATGAGACTCTGAAGACTGGAGTAATGATGCTGAAAGTACAGCTGCACATCACAGGAATAAATTAGATTTTAATGTATATTAAAATAGAAAAATGTTATTTTACATCATAATAATATTTCACAATATTACATTTTTTCCTGTATTTTTGATCAAATAAATGCAGCCTTGATGAGCTCCTGTAAAAAACATTAAAAATCGCAAACTTTTGACCGGTAGTGTAGGTAAAAATGGTAACAACTGAAGTTTTAGGGTTAGGAACGAGTTAGAACTCTAGTCTTACTAAAATTACCCATTGGCTTCCCATAGTGTCTCATATTTGTATGATATCCCCCGAGCAACATCATACCTGGCACCTCTCTAACATAGTAAAAGATGGTGGTGGTATTTTTGAACGAGTAGCCTAAGTGCATTTACTTTAAATACAAATGCACAGAAAATGTGCAATTATATTCCATTATCCCTTTAAAACATTTGAATATGTGTGTACATTAATAATATATTAAAATAAAAAAATTCCAGACAACACCTTAGCTGCAGTTAGTTACTACAGTAAATCCATACGTTGAAATCAGTTGGACAAATTTGTAGTGGAAGCACTACAAAACTAAATTTAATCAGTTTTGCTGTCATTCAGTCTCCATCTGGAGCCCTGTGTCTTTAAATCGTTCTAGTTGGTCGTGATTAATCTGTCAGATGACATCAACATCGACTGAAAAGTCTTTATACTGAAGTCTCTTTGAATGTTGTTATCTGACGTGGATCTGCTTACTGCTATCGTGCTCTGGCTTCATTCTAAAGGTTATTACTCTTCCCAGGATCGCAGTGTATGATCTCGGCGGTGGGACGTTCGATATCTCTGTCCTGGAGATCCAGAAGGGAGTTTTCGAGGTGAAGTCCACCAATGGAGACACGTTCTTGGGCGGAGAAGATTTCGACCAGCATCTCCTCAGACATATAGTGAAGGAGTTCAAGAGAGAGGTTTGTGTCCGTCCTCCCAAAAAACAAATGTGTGTGTGTGTTTAGTAGTAGTGCTCTGATCGGCAAAATCGAAGCCAATAACGATCGCTGATATTTTAACACTAAGATCAGCCGATGCCGATTGTTGATGTTTAATTGTAAAGACCCCATCTTTTAGCTTGAGTCGTTTGTTTTTATTTATTTTTTTGCAAGTTAATATGCTTCACCAAAATGTATCGCACTGTAACATTTAGACGGTTTACATTTTGTAAACATTACTAAAGTTACATTTCACAGTTGTGTCGTTACTATCAAAGATCTCTGTGACGTGCTGGCAGCCAGTGAACCACATGAGCTCAAATGCAGCGGTGAAGAGAGAAATATCAGTTACATATCAGTTGAATAGATCAATAATAAAAAAAGGCTGAATTTGCACAGAATTGGCCAAATAGATCATTGATACTTTAATGATTTTAACTCTTATTATAGAATGTAGAAAAACTGAGCTTTTGTCATCTTTATGTAAGACTGTTAATAAATGGACTGCAGTGGGTTGTTGGTAATAAGTGCACTTTTACAAGTGTATGCATTTACCTTTTTTAAATTTGTTTTCAGCTGGCAAGCACAACTTGCTCGGATATCTGGTTCATTTAGGCAACTGATTTGAATTCCGCTTAACTCTACCTAATTATTGCAATCGGGTTCAATGGAAGGCTGCTGTTCATTTCATTAGTTGTTCTTAAATCGCGGTAGTAGAGGGCCATATGGATGCTCTGCAGGGTTTTCAGCAGTGCTGATGGTCTGAAGCCGTGTGTGGTGTCGTTGCAGTCTGGAGTGGATCTGACCAAAGACAGCATGGCTCTGCAGCGGGTGAGAGAGGCTGCTGAGAAGGCCAAGTGTGAGCTGTCCTCCTCTCTGCAGGTGAGAGACCGACCGGCAGCCCAGAAACACAACAATCACACTGACATTTAGAGTTGTTGTTAATCTGATTTTCTTTTTGTATTGTAACAAATTGGTGAAAAATATATTACTTTTGCATAGGGTTGTAACAATATCAAAATTGTACGATATGATAATATCACGATATGAAGTCCCAAGATACGGTATTTATTGTGATAGAACATTTTGTACATTTTAAAGTTAAATTATTCTATCTAATGCACTTTGAGAGTTCAAAATTAAGAGCTCCAACACAAGTTCTTAACTAAGAAAACTTAAGTCAGAAGACAGTCAGTGAATTGACTTGTAGCTGAACTTTAAAGAGGACTCAACCCTCTTTTTATTTGTGATCTTACTGTCTGAGTCTAAATTACATTCACACCGGTGTTTGAGAAGCCAAACACCTATATAATTAGAATATAATATTAATAACAACAACAATGACAGTAATAGCCACATTGTAAAACATGAATATTTCATAGGTATATTATTTTTGCTTTACACTACAGTAGGGAAATTACAATACTTCTTTCTTAATTTCTACACTTGAAAGAGATATTGTGAATCTGGACTGCATTTAAACCGCTAGCTGTCAGCGAGTCATATTCTGCACTTTAAGCTTTTATTTTGAAGGAAACTCCAGCTTCAGTGAAAACATGTTTACAAAAACACGTCTCACTACAAATCTAGTGAAACGCTGTAATCATCTGCCGTGAAAATAAAGCTGTGTTCCCAAACGTGCGCTAAACTCACAGAACGTGTGATAAACGAGTTGTCTGCATTCATTCAGTGTGAACGAGTCGTTCTGAGATGCAGAAAACACCGGATCACGAGCTGATCGTCTGAACCAAGTGTGTGCTTCGCTTTGAAACACGCAGCGCAAACTTGATGAAGGGATTAAGCCGTATTAAACAGTGTGTTTGAGTTCGTTTGACAGATACTGTACCAAAGCATAATGCCCCAAAACACAACTTTAAAGACATTTTATGTTAGAATAAGAAGTTTAAATATATTTTTAAAACTACACCTTTTTGCCCGAGAAGATCTATCGTTTCATATCATCATGTGACCGCGATAATACCGAGACTATCACGATACCACGATGTTGACAATATCGTTACATCCCTACTTTTGCAGTGTAAAATAAAACAATTGGAGAGAGATCCAGCTCTGAGATACTGAAAGCATCAGATCATGGGCTGCTTTAACAAAATCACAGTGTCTCTGAAACGCAGCACGTCGTCAGACTAAAGCTTTATACGATTACATCACAGCATTTGCATTTTCTTTTAAAACAAAATAGCTTTTATGAGATTAAAAAAAAAATCACAGGAGCATCCTGGCTAGGAAAGGCAGGCCAGTATAAGTTGTACACACATACACAAAACCTATACAAATTTAAAACAAGCAACATTTAAAACAAACAAATTAAAAACCAATCTGATAACGTGTCCCCACACAGCCACTAGATGGCGCTGCTTGCTCATTCAGTGCTGTTTAAAGCAATCCATGCATGAAATAAATGTGAAGATGCAGTATTTTGTAGTTTTAGTAATTGTTTAAAGCCATTTTGTGAGTCATACATCTCAGGTTGGAAAACACAGAAAATCATGTTTTTTTTTTATTAGGAGCGTTTAGAGCCCTGTCCATTATGGCGTTATGTTCCAAGTCTTGTGAAGCCATATAATAAAGTTAGAGGAACAGGATTTAAGGAGATAGTCCACCCAAAAAATGAGAATTGTCACCAAAAAAAAGAGACCTTTAAAAAAAATTTATACAAAATATCATCCTTTATCTTAAAAGAAAAAGTCCAACGTGTTTGAAACGTAAAGATTTTGACATTTACCATTTCATTTTTAGGCAAATTCTCTCTTAAGACTGTAATTGGCAATAATCCTGTCTGTCACTGAAGCTCTCAATTCCAAGAGTGATATTTCTGAATCAAAATAATGCACAACAGCAGGTTTAACAAGTCAAATTGGTTATTGATAGACAAGTATATTGGCCATGCTGATTAATCTGTGTATTTTGTCATTTTGAAACCGTTTTATATAGAGAGTAGTTTCAAAAAGTCAGTGTGTGAGCCGTGCTGGCAAAATGAGCCCCGATGAGCAAATTTTCAAAAATGTTCTTTTTTCACATTCTCCATTAAAATAACTCCCAATTTGTATATGACATGTTGGAATCGGACAAGAAGTGACTGAGCTACAGCGGTTTGAAGGCGAAAGAGTCCGCAGAGTTCATTTTGAGAGAAACGTTGCATGTTTTCCTCCAATTCTCTTCTTAATAATAACCATTATATTATTAATCACAATATAGCTATTTTTTATCTTTGTTATTAAAAGATAAGAACATGGATGCAAATAAACAGTAGTTTAATCAAGAGCAGCGAGTGATTCCGTCTTTTCTTTAAATGCTTGATTATCATTGAGACAGATCTATATTAAGACCTACTGTAATGCATGCGTCTAATATAATGTTGCACATCAGATTTTTCCCCAAACATTAACTAAACGCTCATGTGAGACATAACAGATTATGTTTGTGAGGTTAATAATGTAGCAATAATGTAGGCTACTTTATAGAGAGAGGCGTGTCTTATGCACGCTCTTTGCAAATGTCAGTGAGCTCGTGTGTTTTGTGTTCATCAGCGTGGGTTTGAAAATCATTTTTCGCTGGTTTGGACACGTGTCATCGAGAATTCGATATGAATATTCACAAAGCTGGAATGCTGCAACCATACAGCTTGAGAAGCAGCAGCAGTCGTCAGAAGTGAGCAGAGAAAAAGCTACTCCTCTCAGAAGGCGTACCAATAAAGATCATTTTAGATGTTTAATTGCTATTTGGAGCATTGTGATTGCTAGAAGAGGGCTTAATGAACTCATTTTTGTTCAAAACTGACATTCTTCCTGTAGCTCAAAATTAGACCGTGCGCATTCACACTCATTCTGCCAGAACGGCTCACATATGTGTCCCTGCAGCACAAAAGCAGTCTTAAGTCGCTGGGGTATATTTGTAGCAACAGCCAACAATACATTGTATGGGTCAAAATGATAGATTTTTCTTTTATGCCAAAAATCATTAGGATATTAAGTAAAGATTATGTTCCATGAAGATATTTTGTACATTTCCTACCGTAAATATATCAAAACTTAATTTTTGATTAGCAAAATGCATTGCTAAGAACTTCATTTGGACAACTTTAAAGATGATTTTCTCAATATTTAGATTTTTTTGCACCCTCAGATTCCAGATTTTCAAATAGTTGTATCTCAGCCAAATATTGTGCTATCCTAACAAACCATACATCAATGGAATGCTATTTATTCAGCTTTTAGATGATGCATAAATCTCAATTTAGAAAAATTGACCCTTATGACGCGATATGTGACCCTGGAGCACAAAACCAATGTAATACCAGCTTGTGATGATGAATCAGTTAGTTGGGATGAGTTTTCAGCATGCAGTGGTTATTGCAGGTTTAGAGTGAGTTTCAGTAACAGTGTTGTAATATCTCTGCACACAGACGGACATCAACCTGCCGTACCTGACGATGGATGCCTCTGGCCCCAAACACCTGAACATGAAGCTGACCCGCGCTCAGTTCGAGGGCATCGTGGGGGATCTGATCCGCAGGACCGTGGCGCCCTGTCAGAAGGCCATGCAGGACGCAGAGGTCTCCAAGAGTGAGATTGGAGAAGTGCTGCTGGTGGGAGGAATGAGCCGCATGCCGAAGGTGAGAGTCTGAGAGGAAAGCTTCATTCTAGCGTTTGAGCGGCGCGGAGCTGATCCTGATGCAGGCCCCATGGCAGCGTGATCATCCCGTACTCTCGATTACTAGATTTAACACACAGCAAACTTGAACAAACATCTCACCGCTCACGTAATCACTCAGTGTTTCAACCGTTTAAAGACGTCATTAAAACAGCTTGTAAACTAAATGTCACGCAGCATTTCATCAGTGTCTACAACTCGTTATTTGCTAGAGAAATGAAGTCTAGAGAAGAGCATTCTGAGAAATACTCGACTATTTTTCACTTTACCTGTTCATTATTTAATGTATGTTTAAATAAAGCTTTTAGGAAACAAGTTATGACAGCCACTCTGTAAATTATTATATTTCACCAACATTGAAATTGTATAATTTAGAAGTTAGTTTAAAAACTGCATTATGTGCAATTTACATGTTTGCATACATTTTTTTTTTTTTTGAGTGTTGATTATTATAGTTAAAAATGTATAGTAACTGAATTTCAGTTTGGCCTGTTTATTGTAACTTTGAAGTAAAAGGGCTCACTATACTTTAGAGACCAGAAGCTGAGGTAGATTTTTATCCCTAAGAAAATTATGATTGAATTTATTTAAAGAGCGCAATTTGTTCAGTAAACCATTGTTTAATTAAAAAACAACTAAAAACAAAAACAATTTGTTTAGTATTTTTTTCCCCTGCTGTACCGAAACCATACTGAACCGTCATGTTTGTGTACCGTTACACCTCTAGTGTTCACACACGCAAGGGATTTTAAACCTTTCCAGCGAAAGAAAAGGCGTAATAAAGCAATAAGCCCCGTGAAGCCGTAGTTTACAGTGAATTTATAACAGCTGAGGGCCATTGTTAGGCACGACGTAAAGCGGAGTCTAAAACCTCTCTTAGCTGTTATAAATTCACTGTAAACCACGGCTTCACGGGGTTTATTGCTTTTATAAAACGGTTATTCCATATACGTAGTAAGGTTTCACAAAATAAAACAGAGCAAATAAAGTGTAATGATATTAATAAAAACAGTATTCTTCCACCAAACAATGTAGCTCCTCAGAAACAGTTGTGGTTGCTACAAAGTGGTTGCTGAGCAACAGACAAACGTAAACAAAGGTGTATGTTACTTTGTAGAGTCATTTACAACAGCTTTGAACTTGGCTCAGCCAATCAGAATCAAGCACCGGAACTATCCGTTTTATAAGGGAGCTCGATTCGTTACTTGCGCAATGTTCACAGCCGCGCACCGAACTGAACCCTCTTGCTTTAAACAGATGCATATACACATAAAATTGACAAAATGCAGATCTCGTCCATCATTCTTGTAAATGCAGTCGGTTGTGTCTTGAGTGAATGAGAACAGCTGGGAAAGGAATCGCATGTGCATCATTATATCGGATCCATGCATCAGCTCTTAAAGGGGCGGCAGCCTAATAATACCTGCTGCTGTCATTATGCTCATCAAACAACAAAGCACTTAGTCTTTTTGACTAAGATGAATCTGCAGTGTTAGTTTACACTAAATGATTACATTTCTGTACCTGCATACTACAGAACATCGTTATCTGTGCTTGTAATTTGTGTACTTGTTCTTATTTTCACTGGCTGTCCTCAGGTCCAGCAGACGGTCCAGGATCTGTTCGGTCGGGCTCCCAGTAAGTCTGTGAACCCCGATGAAGCCGTGGCCATCGGAGCGGCCATCCAGGGAGGCGTTCTGGCCGGAGACGTGACCGACGTGCTGCTGCTGGACGTCACTCCTCTGTCTCTCGGCATCGAGACTCTGGGGGGAGTCTTCACCAAACTCATCAACAGAAACACAACCATCCCCACCAAGAAGAGCCAGGTCGCCCGATGCCTTCTCAAGCTTGTGTATAAATCAAATCTTCTGAAGAGACATGATCATTTTATATGATGGGCAGATTTAATATATGCTTTTATTCACAGAACACGCATAAATAGAACTCGTCACACATCGTAAACAGTCTCATGTACCAAGCAAGTGACCGAACTTGCTTGGTACATGAGAACAAATCTTATTGGTTCTTCAGCTTCTGTCACAGCCATAATTGATGTGCATTATGTATATGCATTGATCAGTGTTTATGTCTGATATACACAGATTTTAATTAACAGAAAAAAGATTTAATTTAGACTTTTAAAGCGATCGTGCCTCTTCAGAAGACATGGATTAAACTGTAATTCATAGGAAACTTTTTGAAGCAGCCCTAATATTGGTACTTATATCAATGTAGCTATATAAGATAAGTTGGTAAAAGGCTGAACTGACGCATCTTTCCTGGCTGTGTTGCTCCGCTCTAGCGTGTCCGTATGGTGTGATATGAACTCTGCTGGATGTTGATGTGCTCCTCAGGTGTTCTCCACCGCTGCTGATGGACAGACTCAGGTGGAGATCAAGGTTTGTCAGGGAGAGCGAGAGATGGCCACAGACAACAAGCTTCTGGGACAGTTCACGCTGGTGTGTGCTCCGGGACAGAACAGATTTACACACACTGTGCAGTACTTCAGTAGACCTCTGAAGCAGCTAGAGAATAACCCTGTTTCTCACATCGACTCTGAGATTGGTGTTTGTGTGCTGAACAGGTCGGCATCCCTCCAGCGCCTCGTGGAGTCCCGCAGATTGAAGTCAGCTTTGATATCGACGCTAACGGGATCGTGCACGTCTCCGCTAAAGACAAGGGCACCGGCCGAGAACAGCAGAGTGAGTCCAGACAAACATCAATGATATATGCTATTCCCAAAGGAAATCCAGACTTTTTCTTTAATCTTTCACTAAAATATGTGACCCTGGAGTCTTAAGTGTCAATTTTTCAAAATTGAGATTTCTACATCAGCTGAAAGCTGAATAAATGCGCTTTCCATTGTTGTATGGTTTGTTAGGATAGGACAATATTTGGCTGAGATACAACTATTTGAGAATCTGGAAACTGAGGGTGCAAAAAAATCTACATATTGAGATAAAGTCACCTTTAAAGTTGTTCAAATTAAGTTCTTAGCAATGCATATTACTAGTTTTGATATATTTATGGTAAGATATTTACAAAATATCTTCATGGAACATGATCTTTACTTAATGTCCTAATGATTTTTGGCATAAAAGAAAAATTTATCATTTTGACCCATACAATGTATTTTTGACTATTGCTACAAATATACCCCAGCGACTTAACACTGCTTTTGTGCTGCAGGGACACATATAACAACTTGTGGCCAAAAGTTGCTGCAGAAATGAGCACGTGAACACATAAAGAGTTTATTTGCAAAAACAGATAACTTTTTTAAAGCCTTCAAAAATCATGTTTTTATTGTGATAGTTATCTTAGTTATTTTCAGTTTCATTGAGATTAATTGGAATGCACAGTGAAAACTTTTTTTTTTTTTTTGTTTGTTTGCTTTTTTTATTGTTAAAAAGGGAGTTATATGTTTTTTGGAACTCTTCACATGCTGTAATGCCTGCCTGTGATTATGAGGCTGTGCATTAAAAAAAATCTGTTTTAGTTGAATTTGATTCTTTTCTTGATTAAGTTTTTTAGTTTTGTGCAAGAGGAGGCGTATTATTTGCTATGTCCCATGCACTGCTCATTAAATTTGAATGAGAGTAGAAAAGTGTCAAATCATAAAATGTTAAAATGTTGTTCTCCTATTAATAGAAAGAGATGACTTATTTTGAGTGTATCGATCATTTGGTAATAAAAACAATATTTTTATTTAATAAAAAAAGAAGAGTTTGGTTGTCCACCCTGTCATCTTAATATTTTACAATAATATTTTAAATAATAATTCAATCACATCTATATAATCCAGTGTGTTCAATAGCTTGGTGTGGGGGCAATAACAAAAAACTGCATCCAAATATCACCGTTTTCTCCAGATCAGAAAAAAATACATGTGTGAATTGTATGAGTTTCTTTAAAAACACATGGTTTACATAAAATCTTTTATGTATTTATGATTTGAAAGCAAACAAATAACCCTGTTTAGGAAAGGGACATCATACCTTTCAGAAAATATAATTTGCATCTTAATATTGCATCGTATTTAACAGTAATATATATGTCCATGACAGGGTGGGCATATCTTATGGTTTATGCTTCGAATAATGGCTCATAAATATAAAAAAAAAAAAAAAAATGCATGGGAGCTCAGCTAATGTGTTTCTATAGTACTTGAGTGTCATGACATAAAGCTAAAGCGAATGGGGAACTAAGACCTAAATGTGTGAGTATTGTGAGGGTTGAAAGGCACTCTGTGGTGATATTGACCCATATGTTAATGTAGACGTTATGCATGTCGTTTATAGACGGGTGTTGTTTCATTGCATTGAATAAACGATTTAATGCGCTGCATTCTTTTGCTCATTGCGCCCTCCTGTGGCCTCGGGAGACGAGCCAAAGCTTTCTTTAAGACTTATTTAATCTGCATATAAAACAAAGGAGATATTTGTTTGCATTTCGTGTTTGACTGTTAAAGCGAAAAATGATTTGTTGTTCGTCTTAATAAAGTGGGTGAATTAAAAATACAGTGGTTACATTTAAACTTTTTTTTTATTGCTCTGTTTTATAAAAATGTCAATAATTATTGATACCGAATGATGTGAAACATTGTATCGTTGATGCATTTTTTTAGCTATACGCCCAGCTCTTCAAAAATGTTGAATTAGTCTTTATGAAAAACATTGATGTGGCGTATTATTGTTTTCTGCTCGTGCTTCCAGTTGTGATCCAGTCTTCTGGAGGCCTCAGCAAAGACGACATAGAAAACATGATCAAGAACGCTGAGACGTACGCAGAGGAGGACCGGAGACGCAAGGTAGCGTCTCTAATGTAGCCCGAGGGCTGATGTGCTGCACCTTCAAACCTGTTTGAACTAATCGAAACGCATTGGTTTTGGGTCACAGGATCGCGTGGAAGCGGTCAACATGGCCGAGGGCATCGTGCACGACAGCGAGTCAAAGATGGAGGAGTTTAAGGAGCAGCTGCCGGCGGAGGAGGTGTGACCGCTGTCTGGAGAGCTGAAGCACACTGTTCTAGAGCAGCTAACGCTTGTGATCTCTCTCTGCAGTGTGACAGACTGAAGGAGGAGGTGGCTAAAGTGCGAGAGCTGCTCTCGCGGAAGGACACGGAGACGGGAGAAAACATCAAGCAAGCGGCCACAAGCCTGCAGCAGGCCTCGCTCAAACTCTTCGAGATGGCATACAAGAAGGTCCGCTCCGGCTTTCACTCGCTCTAGCCTTTTATTGACAAACAATTGACTGTTTTGCAAGCACATTACAATTATTTATTATAAGAATAATAATTTTCAATAAATTGACTGTTTTGGAAGAGGATTTAAAAGATTAAAAGTTTCATATAAATAATCGTAGTTATTATTATTATTGTTGTTGTTGTTGTTGTTATCATCATCATTATTATTATCATCATCATCATCTTTTTCAATCGGTGGACTGTTTTGGAAGAGCATTAGTTATTTTAAATTAAAAATAATAACATTTCAATAAATTGACTTGGAAGAGCATTATTTAACATTGTATTATAATAATGATCATTATTAATTATTAAATATAATAATAATAAAAATATTATTCAATCAGTGGACTGTTTTGGTAGAGCATTAGTTATTTTAAAATAATAATAATAATATTCTTTTAATAAATTGGCTGTTTTGGATGAGGATTATTTAAAATGTAATAATAATAGTAGTTGTTTGTTAATATTATCATCATCATCATAATACATTTTTTCAATCAGTGGACTGTTTTGGAAGAGCATTAGTTATTTTAAATTATTAATAATAATAACAACAATAACATTTCAATAACTTGACTTGGAAGAGCATATTTAAAATGTAATAATAATCATTATTAATTATAAAATAATTATTAAATCTAATAATAAAAATAATATGATTCAATCAGTGGACTGTTTTGGAAGAGCATTAGTTATTTAAAATGTATTATGATTATTATTATTATTATTAATCAGTGGACTGGAAGAGCATTAGTTCTTTTAAAATTATTATTATTCATAATAATAATAATAATAATAATAAAGATGTTTAATAGTGATCAGGTTTGGTATGTAGATTGTCTGAATGTTACCTGAAATACTGTCTTTCACACTTGATCTACTTCATTATATCTGTGCAGCTCTGTAATAATAATAATAATAATAATAATAATAAGAGTGTCTGTGTCTGTCGGTCAGATGGCGTCGGAGAGGGCAGGAGGAGAGACGGGGGAGAAGAAGGAGGGCCAGCAGTGAAGCCGTCTGGACTGATCTCTCTCACACACACACACTGCTCCTCATCCCTCTCTTAATGTCACGTTCATTCACTGTCTGCCTCAGGCTTGAAGTGAAGTGTGTCGAGTTGTCATCCGGGCTTTAATGTGATCACAGACACGACTCATTCCTTTCTTAAACACGTGATTTAATGCTGCTTTGATTTGGGTTTTTGGGAACGAATGAGGCTGAACGTGTGGCTGAACAACGTCTAAGTATTTCAGTGTTTCAATGTTTTCTATTTAAATGGCACAGTCTCTGTTCTGCTTGGAAACTTTCTCAGCTTTGAGCTGAGAGCATGAAACTATGAATGATAAACTCAAGAACAGAAGAATATGTGATGTGGAATTAATAGTGCAGTCTAATTGTCATATGTTCCCGGTTATAATTTGCTGATCATACCAGCATTGTGAATCAGGAGCGCACTTCTACAACAACGTCCTTCCAGGACAGATAGGGAAAGCAAAAGGTAGTTGAGGTGAACCTTTACTAGTGACCTCTGCTTGTTTTATTTAAATCAGTGATGTTCTGTGTTTATGGACGACTGAAAGCGAATGACGTTCTGTCTATAGCAGCACAATATAACACACAGCCCATCTACTCTCGGCTTTCTGGTTCATCACAGAAGAATATCCTGGAATCACAGTAGCTCTGTACAAAGGCTGATGTCTGTTGAAATTGTTAAATGCTCATTATAGCTTTAAAGAAAGCAATATTCCAATGCAGTCTTTTATAATAAAATAGTTTGAGCTCATATTTGTGTTGTGTGTGTCTCTCGGTCAGGCTCGTGAATAAACTCCCTAAAGTTTCAAGGTAATATGTTAAAAGATTAATGTTACTTTTGTAATAATACAATTGTACTTTTAAAGTATATTTTTAACATTTGATGTTATGGTACTAGTATGCCTAAAATGCTTCACTTTAGTTGATTCTTATGGTAAAACGCACGACCACAGGACGGTTAGAAATTGTAGGAATGTGAAAACGCTGTGAACCTGGCACTCATGAACATTAAAAGCAACATGATGAACGTTTACTGTAAACTGAGACGCTGAAAACTACGGAAGCTCGTCTCCTCCAACGGATGATTAAAAATAGATAAGAGTAATTGTGACTTTTTGTCTCACAATTTGACACTTTTATTCAGTCATAATTGTAAACTCAGAATACTTTTTATCTAGTTGTTTGAGTGATTGATTTATGCATGCATCAGAATAAAAAAGGTAATTGCTTTTTATTTCACAGTTCAACATTTTTCTAAATTCTGAGAAAAAATATATATAATCTCAGAAAAAAATAGATCTCGGTTTCAGATTTCTGATGTATCCTACTTCCTTGCAATTGTGATTTTTCTTCCAATTGCGAGTTTATATCTCACAATTTGGATATTTCGCAGAGAATGCATATCTCATAATTCAGACGTTCCTTCTCAGAATAGCAAGTTTATATCTAGCAATTATTTGTATTTATTTGTTTTACGCAGAGGTACAAGAAACAAATGTCTGAATTGTAAGATAAACAGTCGCTATTACCTTTTTTTTTTTTTTTTTTTAATTTTTTTTTATTTATCCGAAGGCAGAAACGAGCTTCCATAGAAAACTGGATGGTGTGATCTGGTGTAACTAAACACAGTGCTGCGCTCCGCTCTTAAACACGTGTGTGTGGCCCGCACTGAACATTTGTTTGCACGGTTGAGATCATCGAAGGCCTGACAGACAAACACATGCAGATATGTATTAAAACTAAAGAGAAAGAACTTTATTTACATTGAAATATACATTATTACTCTGCTTTCTTGAAAACTTTATTGTAATTTATCAGTCCTATTAGATAATGTTGCTGTAAGAGGTAAACACAATCAGTCGTGTATACGAGCCTTTCATACAGAATGTCGTAAACGCAAAACTTAAATGAGGTTTCAAGAGAAAAACAAATCTATCGCCGAGTGCTGAACTTTTATTTTGAAAGCGTGTTGCTGCGTCTTCCGCCAGAGCTCGGCTTGAGGCTGGTCGGAGAGGAGCGCGAGGATCTCAGGCGGTGAGAACTGCTTCAGACTCATTTATCATCGTGTTGTAGCATACCTGAGCACTCGTGTTTGTTCTGATGTCCAGTTGCTGCGGAAAACATGTTATGGGTGTGAAAAAAGTACAGGAGATACTGTGCAGCAACTCCATATCAATCTGATAACGAGCGTCAAAACTACAGACTGTTGTTGTTATATGAAAAGTACAGTGGCGAAACTAAAAACAATATTACGCGTACTGCTGATAAGAACGGTAATGGCAGTGTACAGTGAACTATTCATTCTAGTAATATTTCTGTTGTTAATGTAAGAGTCGTGTTTGGACAGTCACTGCTAATAGCAGCTAAGCAGTGTCACAGACTCAAAAAGCTGTTAACGAAGTGTTAAATTCCCTGCCTTTAACACGCCGTTAATAACGTGTGCTGTTGTGGTCATTAAAGCACTTACATGTGAATATAAGACTTGTTAGCGAACTTCACAAGTGTTTGATCGCTAATCTAGCGGCTAGCATTAGCAGCTTCCGCAATAACAGTGTGTCAGAGACTGACACGTGACTCACCAGAGAGTCTGAGAGTCTGATCCAGTTTCTGATTCTGTCCCCCTTTGCGATAGAATCATGGGAGGAATGAAATGGGACGGGATTTCTATTGGAAACAGTCCTAAATTCTATTTTTGATTTCATCAAGATCCTCTGGGCTCAGTCACAAATGATGATAGCAGTATCAGTGGAGCTCCTGTAAACATTTAATCAGAATTAATTTTTACTGGGATTTGAAACACAAGGTCAGTTTGGTTTTAAACCATTTAATTCTATTAATTCTTCACCATAACGCACAAATGCAGTTAGAACTGACTACAGCTCTTACAGCAAGTCTCCCATACTTATTCAGTTTATTGTTCGTAAGGAATTATGTGAGATTTAAAAAGCTTTCAGAACATTTATGTTAGTTTTCTTAACCCTCGTGTTGTGTTCACGTCATTTTGACCCAGAGAGGAGTTTGTTTTTGCTGAAGTTGCTAGTTACTGTTTATCACATTAGACTAAAACACGCTGACTTTGCTCACGGAGGGTAATAACGACTTGCCAACATGTGAGTCAGGTTTGGATGTTTTCCTACCGTGTTACACTTGTGCGGTTCCCAGTCAACACTGACCAGCCTACAAACAACTGCTTATACATCTCTCACTATGCTGTATTGTCATGAAACACTGGATTCAGTCTTTTTGTCAACTCGTTTTCTTTCAATTAGCACAGGTTTTGTGTTTCTTTTTGGATCTGATTGATCGTAGGCCTCACTGATCTGATCTTGTGCTCCTCAGTGTTTGTTTTTAGGTGAATAAGCTTAAATGAACTTTTGTTAGGTGCTTAAACTCAGATAAATGAGGCCTATGATCAAACCGCTCCAGACAGAAACACAAAACCTGTGCTAATCGAAAGAAAACGAGTTGACAAAAAGATTGAATCCAGAATTTCAGAATAATATAGCATAAAGATATTTACTTCGTTTCACTGCCGGAAAGTGAACCAACTCCAGCGTAAGGCTAAACGCAGCCTAATGTTTTTAATATGACTCAGTTTGTATTTAACATGATAACAGTTTAATAGAAACATCGTAAGTTACTAATTATATTATGATCGTGTGTGATTGGTTGTAACGCACAACACTGTACAAACGCGTGAAAAAATATGTAATGGAACAAATAAGCCCTAATATTAATTAGAGAGTATTACTCGCCTAATAATATTAATAATAATCGTCTTGCTATCGTCAAAGGCATCAACCACAGGCGATATCTCTGACTATCGTCGATACGCGATACTATCGTGGATAGTAGACAACAGTTTCATCATAACAATAACTATAGTAACTCTTTTGGTAGAAACGGTGGATTTACACTTTTTTTCAGCTCAAGCACAAGATATATGTGGCCCTGCAGCACAAAAGCAGTCTTAAGTCGCTGGGGTATATTTGTAGCAATAGCCAACAATACATTGTATGGGTCAAAATTATAGATTTTTCTTTTATGCCAAAAATCATTAGGATATTAAGTAAAGATCATGTTCCATGAAGATATTTTGTAAATTTCCTACCGTAAATATATAAAAACTTAATTTTTGTTTAGTAATATGCATTAGGGATGTAACTATCAAAATCACACGATACGATAATATCGCGATATGACGTCCACGATACGATATTTATTGCGATGTGTAAAAAAACAAAAAACAAATGAAGAATTGGAAAAATATTTGAATTTTTGTACATTTTAAAGTTAATTTATTCTATCTAATGCACATCAAAATTAAGAGCTCCAACCCATTTTCTTAACTAAGAAAACTTAGATAAAAATCAGAAAAAGTAGTGCTGTCTAACGATTAATCGCATCCAAAATAAAAGTTTTTGTTTACATAATATATGTGTGTGTACTGTGTATATTTATTATTAGGGGTGTAACGGTTCACAAAATTCACGGTTCGGTTCTGGGCTAATTGGTTACGTCGCAATGTTGGAAATATTTCTGTTTTAAACCATGAAGGTGAGCCAATGGATATCACACACTAAGTTAACACGTGCTAAGTTACGCCGGTGAACGTCTTAATCTCAGTCAATTCAGTATATGCAGAAAGTGAAAGTAAAAACGTAATGACGGAGCTTTCTGCATCTGACGCGCTTATTCTCTCAGAGACGACGAGACGAATCTAGTTCAACATATGCTGATAACGGTATATAGCTAACTGTTTTCATTTATTCCCTTAATATTTCTAATAATACATAGTAAAAAAAAAGAGAAGAAACATAGGCCTATTTTGTGTTAAACAGGTTGTTTTTGAAAGTCGGTGCCTGAAATAAAAGCTTTTTATTTCATTGATTTTTATTGATGACTGTAGTGTTAATATTTTAATTTGGTAATTATTGCGGGGCAAATTAATTGTAATTTTAATTTAACAATAAAAGTAGGCTAACTTCATAATAATAATAATAATATGCCTAATAAAAATAAGAATGTAACAGGCCTACATTAATTGGAAATGCCAAATATCTTAATATTGCCAACAATTGATGTTTTTGACAATATCTCAGGCTATCGTCAACACAATACGAATACGTGTATCGTTACACCCCTATTTATTATGTATATATATA